TTGACACTTTTGCACTTCGAACGATCTTCATGCCGAAGGTGACTGTGTGACGGACGCCAGCACCTTGATCATTTTCCCCGCTATCTTCCACCGAGAGTTTTGCTACTGTTTCAAAGTATATCGATTGAGAGGACTCAACGAACCTGGCACGGGGACATGGCCGTCCGTCTTTGTTCGTTACCGCCACATGCAATCGCCTTATTGATGCGATTTTCCCGCGGCAAGTCTTGACTGAGCGAAAGGCAGAGGGTCAGTCACAGGTTGTACCACGTGTAGTGGATACCAAGGAGCACGTTCTCCTGCCGGACCCAAACCAAAAATTGCACCTTCAACATGAGACGAGAATCTTTTTTGCAGTGAACGAGGGCCACAGGGGCCAAACTGTTCTGCGAGGTTGGATGCGTTTTCGACACTTAGTTCAACCGTACGCTTTTTACGATAGCACGATGTGCTCGGCCTCTATTGCTATACACCAGCTCTCTTGGTCTACATGATAAACCAGAGGAGTTGGGACATTGGTGACGCGGGAGCTGGCCTCTTTGAACGGCGGTAAGACCATGCCGGAAGAAATGAGAGTCACTTTTGCATCGATCAGTGGTGACATGCGCCGAATCACTTTCTTTGGCGGCCCAGATATTCTACTTACATCCGCCATTCATGGAACATTCCATAGGCTTGAAATTGAGCGCCACTCGCCCCGAAAGCATTCCAGGTCAATTCGAAGTTAGGGACTGGATATCCATCAGCACTCGAAGCTCCGCCTGGCGGAGGCAATGCTTGCAACTACGAATAGGCAACTAAGGAGGATCAGGGGAGGTTCTTTCGCTGTGGCAAGTTTCATGTAGGGGCAGACATTCACGATCACGTTGTTCATCTGTGGGGGACGGCGCTGAAAGAATATGACACCTTGAAGTTGAGTGATTGCAACGCACTCGGCAACCAGAAGAGGTGCTCAAACCAGAGTGGATATGTTTCATGGGCTACGTTGATCGTGCACATGTAGGCTCAACAACCAAAGGCATGCGCGCAATTCCATCGTGCATATTGTGAGAAAGCAGAGGCAGAAGCTGGAGCTGAATGTGGCGACGATAGCGTAGACAACGCTGCCGCCCTGCGAACAATGGAAACAATGTTAACAAGAAACCATTCTGACAGCATGAAGCCGTCCACGTATCAATCATCAGATGTTTGTGTCTTGAGACTTCATGCCTTTCTGTTGCCATGGATCGTTGCGCTGTGGCTGGCCTCCGCTTACATGTCGCCACCGCATCTTCCCCGTGATTCCGATGGCAAATCCGGGGAAATTCGCAGGTTTGTGTTCCGTCCCACGCCACCGAAAACTTCAATACTGGTCCCAATCCAACCAAACCGAACGGGTTCTAGTTCAGTACAAATCCATTGGCAGATGCGTTGAAATGCGAAGACCAGAAAAGCGAGACAAAGATTGTCGACCATGATGGCGAGAATCACCCCGTTGACACTCTCGAAATAGTCTCAGGCTGTGTCTTCCAAGCGCACACGAGACAGACGATCAGCGAGAGCGAACGGCTGCGAGCTGCAATCTCGTCTTTGTGAGCCTATACTCCGCGGAAGCCTGCATTGGTGCATCGTTGACCTTGATCTTTTTCATCGTTTGCAGCCAGAACGGATGCCTGTGGATACGGGCCAAGTCAGTCACAGGGAGTAGGATCTTGAGAGCATTTGACCGGTGTGACCGAATCAGCCCACGGCAAATCAAATCCAATAATACGCCCGCCTTCAACTCAGTATCCCAAGTGGACCATAGCAAACAGCTCAACCGGGTCCTTGGCGAAACAAATCGAAGAGAAGCTGCAGTCTAGGCTCGGCCTGGTTCAGTCAGATCCAAGTCCTTGCACGCGACTCACTCGTCGTCCGCTCGCCTTCGATCCATATTGAGCGAATGAGGCTCGCACACAGAGTAGGTGGGGAATAGTGAAGCAAAGCAGGGACACCCTGTAATCGCCGCGCGACTGTTTTATTTTAACTTATCCGGGTTCCTTTGCAAGTAGAGGTACGTGCGCTGAGAGAAACGTTTCGTTTGATGAACAAGCCCTGTGTTTGCTCGTCATCGAAAGCCTTCTCCTGTAGACGTCATCCTCTTGTCTGGTTGCTAAGCCACGCCGAATCTCTCTCGATCTTTTCTTTATCCCCCGCCGGCATCATTTGTGCGATCGCAATGACCCGTTCTTCAATTTTATCACCGCCTGTATACGTCACTGCGCCGATACCCGATGTGATTGACGCTCATTCAGCTTTCATTCGTCTGCGACTCACTCATCACAAGCTCGATCCATCATCCTCGCTGTGCAGACAGAGGACCACAACGGAATACGCACGTCGCGCTGCTCCAGCAGCAGCTGTAGGGGAGGAGCTGGCTCATCTCATTCTGCTCTATCAATCACAAGCTGCGCCTGACCATCCTGACCACTGCAAGCACGACACGCTGAACTCAGCCCTTGGTTTCTGGCTACGGGCCACAGTTAACGCAACAATCAGCGACGAAGCCAGACTGCTTGCATTGGCCAGCCGTTGCGCAGCTCGGCAAGAGTCCGCCGCTGCCACCGTGACACGAAAACGGCAAACAATCCAGCTGCAGAAGTGCACTCTGCTGGAGAAGACCTATAAATTCGACGCAGCTTGTCCAACGTACACTTCACTGACCCTCTTCTGCTGGTCACATCGCGCCAGCATCACGATCCAACCCTCTCTCATATTTGCAACACTTGCCCGCAGCCATCTTATCGACTCATCCTCGACCGCAACCCCTTGTATCGATCAGACGAGCCAGTAGTGCCAGCGGAGGTCCCAACCATCAGTCTACTCGTTCTGCAGACGTGGACTGCTCGTTTTGCTCCACTGCTTCATCACATCACCAACTGAACCCTTTCGAGACCAGTACTGGTCTATCTTATTCTGCAACCACTACAGACACAGCATCAGGAAGGCCCGTCATCCGACAAGCCGGCAGGTTTTCAACCCAAATACACGATCCGCAGCAACTTATTTGAGACACATCTCACCCGGTACGCCTCTTTTTCGAATGGACGTGCAAGATGACGGAGGCAAACGATTTTCGCCAATCTTTTGAAATGGAGCGATTCGCGGATTTTGATTTCAATGCACACCAACGTCAGCAGGGTTCTCAGGCACAGGTTCAGAGGCAACAGCCATGGAACGATAGGTCCAGGCGTACTGCAGAAGAGCGGGAAGCAAGTGGTGCTGTTGACGAAGAAAGTGCTGCGCTTGCACAGAAGCAAGCACTGAGGCAGGCTTACGAGGGTGAAAAGGGCGGCAGGTCGCCGCTTCAACAACTGCTTGACGCGCATAGACTGAACGTGGGTTGAATCCATGCTCATCCTTACATGCATCTCACAAAGAGCCATGCTAACCCCTAAACCTCTTCATATGATGCAATGAAGTCTTACGGCTACGAGCGCCCGCCCACCAGCAGCTCTCCATCCATGCAAAGCACCGACAGCAGGCTCGACGGCACAGGAAGCAGCAAGGAAAGCCTCGTTGGCCAGCGACCGCACAGTGCATCCTCGACAGCCCCGGACCATGATCCTTTCCGTGAGGCTCTCGACATGTATCAGACCAAGCCTGCGAATCAACGCCGAATGCAAGCTCAATGCAACAGCGGAGGCCAAAGCAGCACCGGTCATAGCCCTGGACGCGGGCACCAGCAAGGCAATAGCTCAAACCGCAGCGACGTTGCCTTCCCATCTTCGCTTCCATACGCCGGTGTACTTGGAAATGGGTCCAATGTGCATTCCTCCGAGGATGAGCTCGTCCATCGCATGCAGGAGAGTCTTGGTTTGGACTTCGACGAAGGCTTGGAGCGCGGCGCTCCCGTGAATCAGGGCTGTGGCGGAAAGGAGCGTGAGACAGCCGAGAGCCTTCCGCACGAGTGGATTCCCAACCGTCAACTCTCTTGTGCCCTGCAAGCTTTGCAAGACCAGGCCACTCAATCTGTTCCGCTTCAACATCAGCTCTGGCAGCAGCAACAAGCGTCTGCACCTTGGCCTCCACAGCCCCAACGTTCTAATTCTGGGCCGACCTTCAGCTCTAGCGCTTTGGGCAACGGCAGCCCTGCCCTAGCACACCTTGCACTAGGCAACAGTGGCTCAAAGAGCTCATGGATTCCTGGACACGGTGGACTACCGGGGCCTCGTGGCGATTCAAGGAGGGTCAGCAGCGGTAGCAGCGGAACTGGCACGATCAACGGGACCGGCAGTGACCCCATTGGCGCACCATACAGCGCGCTGCTCTCTGCTCATGCGCGTAAGTCAGCTGCTGCGTTTGCGGCGTCGCGATCGCAGCACTCGTTACCATCTGGAGGCTACGAGACGCACGAGGCGCGTGCATCACACCCCTCCCCTGTCTGCGCAGGACGCGGTCAACCAGGATACGATCCGACTAGTAGTTGCGTACTTGGGCCGTCGACGCCGTCGGCATCTGGTAGTAGCACGCATACAAGCGTCAGCGAGTCGCAAGCTGGCACCCCGCTGGACCTCCTGCGCAGCCACTCAGCGTCTACGTCCGCACTCGAGCCTTCCTCGCCTGCATACTTTGCTCCTTATCTTCAGCAACAGCATCAACAACTGCATTCTCATGCATTGAGTAAGAAGCCAGCTCCTGCAGGCGCGTCGTACTTCCAACAGAGGCAACACCAGTCTCAGCAACAACAACAATTTAGCGACCATGCTGCGTATGACAGTCATATTCAGCCTCTCAGCTTGCTTGGTCAATCATCCCCCATATTAGCCCAAGGCTTACTTGGACATGACACGTTCGCCCGGTATACGGTCGGACGCCATCCAGACAAGGCATTTGCGAAACGTCCATCGCCCATGGCAGCATCCTCATCCAGCAAGTCCGATCCGTTGTATGCACCAGCCTTTGTGAACAGCAGCAACAGCGGCAGCCCTCTCACAGCGATTCATGCTGCTGCTGCTGGCCCAGCAATGTCGACGGCTTCTTCGCCTGCGGGTCGTACGTCTGCCCTACAAGATGCGTGGTCTGCGTCTAGACAGTTGCGCAGTCGCAGCCTGATCGATCAAGATGGTGGGCCTTCAGGCGTCGCCGCTGTCGCAGCCATCTCCGCTAATAACAACGATGGCACTGCGTCCGGGCCACCAGCTCCGAAGGGTGTTAGAGTTCCTGCGGCGGCTTATGATGGGAACGCAACAACCACAGACTCACAGTGGTTGGCTCAGGCACTCGATTCACTGGGAATCCGCGGAGCTGGTATTACTGATACCCCGGCCAGGGCTTCACCAAAGTGCTTCTCAACATTGTCATCCGATTTTGTGCCACGCCAACACGCTCCTGCTCACAGCTCACCGGTCACAATCGAACAAGTCCAATTCTCTGAAGAATTTTGGAACTTGCTCGCTCAGCGGTGAGGGCTCCATGACTTCTCGCATGAAATGCGGACACTGACACCTCCGCTATTATTTTCAATGCAGTGCCGCCGAGGGTGGGCTGACTGCACCAGCCGCAGGTCTCGGCGTGGAGCTTGGATCTGCGAAGACATCTTCGCCTGGCGTTGGTCGCGTCATCCCTGCTCCTCCAGGTCAACCTGGTCCCGCTCCGCACAATCGCAAGGTCGACCTCTACAAGACTGAGCTCTGTCGTCAATGGGAGGAGAAGGGTAGTTGCCGATATGGAGCCAAGTGTCAATTCGCTCACGGCTCGCAGGAGCTGCGCCCTGTTGAGCGTCATCGGCTCTACAAGACACAGATCTGTCGGACGTACTTCCTCACTGGATCATGTCCATACGCCCGCCGTTGCTGCTTTGTCCACATGACGCCGGCCATGCAAGCTGGTGCACCGCAGGAGGACGAGGTCAGCAAGCCTCCACTGCTCGCACGCTTGAAAGGTCAACAGAGCGCCGCAGCCGGGGGCTCGTCACCTGCTTCGCCGCGTCAAAGGACTTCGTCCAATAGCAACAGCGCAGACGTTGCTGTGTCCCGCCTACACGAGGCGCTGTCCAATGCGAAGGCCTCGCCGTCGGACATCATTAGTGCTTTCCCCAGCAAGAGCAACCGCATTGGCAGCGAAACGAAGCAGAGCGGAGTGACCGCCGCAATCCAATGATCGTGGCCCGGGATATACAATTTCTATGAGAACATAACAAGATGCTTCAGCTCTGACGAGCCATTTCTACTCTGGATGCTTTAGCGAACCGTTCAGCAGCACGCATTGCACAGTTTTTTTGGCGAAGGTTATGCTCAATGTCCACCCTACCGAAATCACCGCATTTTTCTTAACATCGCATTCAATCTAGCCCATACTACAATCAACATCGTCTTCGTAGTCATACATCCCCGCGCTTATCGTCACAGCTAGCCCTCATCTTTATCAATGAATCCAATGTAGACCCAACCCAATCATATTGCTCATCGTAGTGCGGGAGAGAGGACACGCTCCGCGCTGCCCTGGCATCGGGAAATGTAGTTTAACCAGAATTTGTCTTACATTTTGCATACATCGAAGGAGCCGGCGTACAATACAAGTTGCGCAGGGGGACGACAGTCACTACATCAACGGCCACCAGCCATTGTCATCACCATCCCCGTCACCGTCACCCTTGCATGTACGCTGCTTGGTTGTGCGCCGTCGTTGCGGCGTTGTGCATAATCTGCTGCTGCGCCATGCTCGCTGCATGTTGTCTAGCGTGGGCCTGCGCTCGTGCGGCGTTCTGTAAGGCGTATAGTAGTGAAAGACAGCGCTCGTAAGCATTTGCAAAAAGTCCATTCCCTCGCTCGCTGCCTCCCCCGAAGCCGCGCTGGCACTCACATCATTCCACTGCCCATCCTGCGCGCTCTGTGATAGCTGCCTGGGAATGCTCGACGATTGCTGGAGGCCTGCGATCGCTTCGGATGTGGAAAAATACGGGTGGCGCAGCGCGTCCTCGGCGGATATGCGCTGCGTCGGGTCAAACTTGAGTAGCTTCTCCAGCAGGTCGATAGCTGCACGTTGGTGGATAGGGAGATGCACGGACATACGAGACGGCAGATTACGTGTCAGCTATTTCTTTCAGGACGCTGTTCTGTAATTTGTACGTCGGGCCAGACGAGACTGCTCACCCAGTGGATGCGCTTTTGGATACAGTTGCTGGAATGGGACCTTGGGTGTGCGAGGAAAAGGTCGGACCTGGACCTCAGGCTTGAGACGAAGCAGAGGGGATAGTTTTTTTAAGAATTAGAGCCGCAAACAGGCCGGATTTTCCATCGAGAAGTACATATAGACAGGTTGCTTGATCGTCCCTTGCCAACCTTTCGCGAGCTCCTTTCCACTACACTCACCGAGTCGTTGACGAGCCTCTTCATCGTTGCCTCATCCGGCGTACCGAGAATGCGGAGGATCTGGTTGAGCTGGTCATTGTTGTCCCTCCCTCGGAATAGCGGTACGCCACTGATCATTTCCGCCATAATGCAACCGGCGGACCAGATGTCGATCGAGGTCGAGTAGGTTCGCGAGCCGAGCAGGACGTCCGGCGCTCTGTACCATAGCGTAACGACCTCATTCGAGAATGTGTTTACCGGTATGCCAAACGCACGTGCCAGACCGAAATCCGCCAGCTTGAGCTCTCCCTGCCGCGACAGCATCAGGAGCAACGTCGTATCGACAGGACAGGTCAACTTCTCTCTCTCTCTTTCTACCACGTGATCGGCATTCACTCACCCTCTTGTTGATCAACAAATTCTGCGGCTTGAGATCGCGGTGCAGCACCCTATTCTCATGGCAGAAAGCGGTCCCCTTGAGCAGCTGGAACATAAAGCTGCGCACAGTAACGGGATCGAGCGCGCCACGGTCGCCGTGTATGTCCATGTACTTCTTCAGATCTTGATCCATGTACTCGAACACGAGCATCAGCTTCGACTCAGTGTGGATGACGTCGTGTAGGCGCACAATATGGCTGTGGCGCAGCTCCTTCATCAGCGAGATCTCGCGGATCGCCGTCGATGGCGTCCCTTCCTCCGCATCGAGGTGGATCTCTTTCAGCGCGACGATCTCGGACGAGTGCCGCGAACGGCCCTGGAGAGGATGGATTCGTAAGGGTGAGCAACAGCCGCGTTTTCGTCCCCGAGAGGGAACGTCAGGTTGATGCATCGTCTGATACGCCATTCACGTACCTTGTATACTGTCGCATACGTCCCCTCGCCTGTAGCATGACAGCAGGACAAGAGACCAACGAGGGTAAGACTCTCTGCAAGTCCGGGTTGCGACTGTGTGTAGCACCTCACCTAGTTTTTCCAGCTCTATGGGGATTCAAAAGGATATCCCAAGTGACACCGGAGAGCAAAGTGTCATCAGCGGCCAACATCTCTCGTGCACCACCCGCTGGCAAGGAGCGCTCACGTATGTAGTTCATGGTCGCTTGGTCGGCCCCTCAAGCCAGTACACCCTCCTTTCGCTTGGATTTGCACGAGCCCGTAGGTCGCTGAAGAGGACAACGAGCGGCGAGAAGAACACGTAGGGGTCCCACATGGAAGGAGGTGACACTGCGTTGAATGACAACCTCGAAAGAATGCGTTGTCAGGTTTTCTACAGCTAGCGTCGACACTCACTTGAAGATGTTGTTCTGTTTCTCTCTCCCGCTCTCTCATTCTCCCTCATGGCGCACGCTCTGTGGGGTGATGAGCACGGGGGCGCAACGCGTTTCGCACTTATTGCGTTGGCCGTTGAAGCAAAAAGTGTCGCGCAGTGCCCGAGCCAGTTTGCCACGCGCCGGCTGCGCGCGTCGAACATTCGAGTCTAGTCGCGCACCAGGGAGGCGACATCAACACGAGCAACACATAGGGTCATGTCAAGGTCAGTCTATGGTCTTTCACACCATGCGAAGCCATACAGCTCATTGAGGCACGTGCTCAAGGGTGAAGGCGCTGCCTTCATCATCCAGGTATCCCAGACTGCGGAGAGCGCGCATCCGCACGCGCTGCCTGCCAAATTTGCCATGTACAGCGTACAATGTATGTGTGCTACTGTTTGAAAACGTATCTCAATTTCTCTTTTGTGCCGCTGGTAGGCAAGCTCGGACAAGCTGCAAAGTGTTGCCTTCCACCCTTGCTAATGCAGAACCGCAGATGAGGGTTCGGGCACTTTCTCGGCTCATGGCAAGCTTCAGCAGAGACGTCAAGAGCAGTGCGAGCCATTGTACCACAATTAATCAAAATACAATTCACCCTCGCACAGAACATAGTTGAGGGGCGGACCCGCACCTGCACGCTGCACGTCTTTTTTAGACTACAAGTGCTCAATATGGAAATACTAAAAGGGTGGGAGCTAGCATGTCAGACAGAGAAAAAGACATGTATGGCAGCAGCAAGGGAAAGCGACGCCAGCGAAGTGTGCTTGCTGATCCTGCTAAACTTTCCGGATGAGGCGCACCCTGGAAGGCCGGCAAAGCATTCAAGCATTTAAGCACTTCAAGCATGAATGTTAGCTGTGCAGAGAGGCTTAACGGAGCACTCGGTGATGGTGTACACTGTCGATTGCGGGTGACTGGGCGGGAGCTGGGGAAAGCACGAAGTGTCCACGACACGAAGACTGTGCATGCCTCATGCGGGCAGGTTTGAGCCAAGGCCACTACTCTACACGTTGCCGATCGCACACGTGCAAGAACCACGCCAGACAGCCATAAAGTTGTCTCTGTATAAGTTTAAGATCTGTTCGTTGGTCCGCACGGCGGCGAGGCCGGGGTAGTACTCGTCGTCTGTGGTGCAAGTGTGTTTGAACGTGTAGACGGCCGCCTGCTGGTCGAAGGGGTTCATCAGCCAGCGCGGGTCAATGTTTGGCAGGTCGCTTGTGTCTGCTTACCTGAGTGTGACCATGCCATGAGAGTGGAGGACGACGGGGGAAGCGAGGATGGTGACGTACTGCTTCGTGCGGAGTATGGCCTACCTTGAATTTCTTGATCAGCAGTGAGGTGATTTCCCGACGAAGCCAGGGTCACGGAAGTGTTCAATGTAGGGCCGGTAGCGCAGGTAGGATGCTGGCTCCGATCGAAAAGGGTCCAGTCGGGGTTGTGCACCCAAACGAGCATGTCGGCAACCTCGTCAGAGGATGTGCAAGCAGTTTAATATCGTCATGAAAACTACGGAAGAGTGAGTGGAACTCAATGCGCCTCAATCGTGAAGGGACTGGGCTAGTCGAGAGTAAAAATTGAAATTTGCGCGGCAAGTAGACAAGATCGCTAGCTGCATAGGTGAAAGTGTTGAGGCTGCCGTCGACCTCGTACGAGAGGCCTACGAAGACTGAAAAGAGAAGAGAAGGCAATATCAGTTTGGATACTGAGGCAAATTCATTCGCCGCTGGAAGAGCGTGAATTGGAGATATACTGTGGCTTTGCATGTTCTGTCCAACGTTGGTACTCTCGATCAAGACAGGGATGCCTTTCGCGGTGAACTGTTCACGCGGACTGATACCGGACACTATGGACAGCTGCGGCGACTGGAAAGCACCGGTGGATACGATGACTTTGTGTTTGGCGGTGCCCATCTTGACGCCGAATGGAGAGCTGAAATGCACGCTGGTAGCCTTGGGCGTGGACGAGTTGTTGTCGAATATGATATTCTTTGCCAGAGCGCCTCGCAGGACCACCAAATTGGGGTGCAGGGCCTCACTCGCCAACAACGAAGCCCTCGAGCCCCTGCATGTGTCGCCCTTGGGGTTGATGGTCGCTCTGGCGTACTGATCTCCGTTCAGCGTGCCCATGTTAAAATCCCTGGCGGTGGGGATGCCTACTTCGTTTATGGATAGATGCATGTACTTGGAGAATGCCTCGAAGGGTGTTCAGGTACGAGACCGGGAGAGGTCCACCTGTCGCGAAGAATGCAGACAGCTCGTTCTTTGCGACTGTCTCTTCCGGACGCAAAGCGGGGTTAGTAGAGGGAAATGCGAACTCTTCTTGAATTCGGCGAACAGGCATTTAAAAGTCCGTTGCGACTCGCCCGTCAGCTTCACCCAGGTATCCAGGCCGCCGAACGTCGGGCGCTGATACACCATAAAACTGCGCGCATTTAAACCGCTGAGCGTTTTGCCGCAAGCAGACCGGGAACACGGTTGTTCGCAGTAGACTGCGGCACGGTTGAAACCCCCAGTTGACACCGTTGTTGAACAAGTCTACTTGTGCGCAACCACAGCCGACGGTGTCGTAGCCGGGCGTAGAAACGAGCCCGTAGTTGATAGGACGCATTAGGCTGGCATAGTTCGTCCCAACCTCAATGCGTCTGGCACAGAGTAGCGGGTACTCGCTGAGACGCGTTGCAATCGCCGAACCAGCTGAAAGAGGATATTGCGAGAGGCAGGCTTTCTTCAGAATGCGTAAGCGCATCTCAGACAGCACTTAGAACGAACCCATGCTGGCGCCAACAGCAATGTGGTAGAATCTCCCAGTACCAAGGAGGTCAGCAGTCCGTTCGCTATTACTAAGCAAATCCATGAAGCCAGACTTTGTCGTGCAGTTCGTACCGCCTTGCACAAAGTGGCCGAACATTGTGCTGCTGTCCCGCTGTTCCAAGTGCACTGGCTTGACGGCCGTCAGCACCAGGAAGGGCCAATGCCAGCAGGGAGGCGAGCATGGTGGCTGGTGGACAGGGCCAGAAAGCTCAGAGATTGAGGGTGGACGAGGGCGCGTGGATGTAGTGCAGTTACCGGGTTGCGGTATAATTTTGACGAGGCCCGGCAGCAGGAGCAAGGGCGGGTTGAGGATGAACCTAAGGAAGAGAAGAGAAGTAGCGGACAGTGAGGAGGGGTCCTTCGAGATGTGCACCGCTAATTTGTTCATCGAAGCACTAGTCAGGCAAGAGAGGGCAGTCGAGACTCAAGCCCTTGATGATTGCTCAGACTGTTGACAGAGCGACGCCCGGCAGATCTGTCGTGCTTTGGTGCACAGGAGCATCAAATCCTGAGTCTCGTTCTCCTCAACACTCCTCAACCAAATCGGGTTGCGGTCAGGGTGTGCCACAGGCGTGAATGGTGCAGACTACAGTACGCACAGAGGTCGCCCCAGAGACTTCCCCAGACTCCAGAGGGCATCTGGCGAACACATGCAATCCAAAACGCCTCCAAAACGGCGGACGGCTGAGTGAATCATGCACACGCAAGGGAGACCATTCACCAGCGGCACTGCAACGGCCGGATGCTTCCACTTCTCATTTAATCACTCCTGTCCCTATAAACGAACATCTGCACACTGATAGCGATTGAAACACCATAACCCACCCTAAGAAAGCGTCCTAATACTATAAATATGAAACCAAGCAAAACAGATATCTGGAGGAGAACCCTAGTGTGGAGATTGTCAACGGCTGTCAGAGAATGCACGAGCAGGTATGTACGTAAGGATGCCATTTTCTCGACCCTGCGTGAAACACGCGGGTTCCTAACTTCGCACTGTTGAAATCTTCAGTCTTCTCCCCGCAAATCGCAATGCTACGCCTCCGCAAACGCACTGAGACGCATTGAAAGGTATCTTCGAATCTGGATTGTATGAGCGTATGTACATATAAAAAAGTATACATATATACCTATATGCATGTAGGATGAGCATGCAAGGTGTGAATTGTGGGGTGTAGAAGCGAGTCGAGTGTGGACTGTGGGTCTTGTACTTGGGTTATTGGTAGCGCTCGACTGGGGTGGAGGAGTGGTGGAGAACATCAGGAGCATAGGATACAGATCGTCAAAATGTTGTATAAAAATGCTCACTGAATAATAAAAGTGGACGGTGGAATCTATCAAATTGTCAATCAGAAATCAATAATCAGAAATCAATAATCAGAAATCAATAATCAGAAATCAATAATCAGAAATCAATAATCAGAAATCAATAATCAGAAATC